TTGATCATTTAGAACTGTCTTAAAAATCTGTGATTTGGTAGAAACTATGTGCCAGTGTGCTCTGTCCTGAAGTTCTCTGTATTGGCATATGTAAAGTATTTGTCATGAGACAAAACTGTGGAGGCATCTCTCGAAAGGATAGTTCAGAAGAAGTTTTCCAAAGATGCTAGCAGCAGTGCTAGTGCTGTGTCCTCAGTGCATTATCATCCACTTGTTTGGTCCAAGTCATCATGGTACAAGCTCAACTATGCCCATGATTGAACCTACCCCTATTCAGAAAAGCTCTGAAGTATCTGCCTAAGTTTTGTGCTGAATTGAAGCTGTTATTATTAAGGGATTGTCTGTAATACCCCACTTTTCCTATTCACCTGAAAGGTGTTTTGTGGGTGAGGAACCAATCTGATTCAGGTACATGAAAACCAGCACATGCCAGCAGAGTACCTCAAGTTTAAAAAGATTGCAAATGCTAGAATGTAAAAGGTTTAGTTTAATTCCAAATGAACCTGGGGCTTGACTGAGAAAAGAGATTGTGTTTAGAAAATGAAAGTGTTCATTAATTGTTTGACTTTTAACAGGCATAGGATCCCTTCCATTTCTATTTGTTTTCAAGCTTGCCGCTTTGGAGGACAGCTCAAGATGTGTGCCAAGGAATTAAGTGCAGATTTTTGTGTTCAAACAGAGTATTTTTGCAATAGTATCTGGGTACTTTGATTTTAGACTAATATTGCTGACATATTTTTCTATATGCAAAATCCAGGTGGTGCTAATAGAAAATAAAGAGTTGTCATTGGTTCGTGCTAAAGACAGAAGCGATGAACTAGGATTAAATAACATTTGCTTCATTCAAGCAAATCTGGACTATTTTAAAGGGACTTTTAATATTGGGGTAAGTAATTATGTCCTTTCAGCTTTTAACTTTAAGCATTAAGAAATAGGTTTATTTCAGTATTTAGCTATACTTACAAACAAATCAAACTCTTCCATTACTGTTTATTTAAAGATGGGCATTTTTGGTCATAAAGTCACTCTTGTTAAACATACAACATGCACCTGAATAAAATACGCAACCTGGTTTTCAAAGGCAGGATGAAGGAAAAAAGATCTTTCCTCAAGAGCCGCTGCTGAGGTGGAGAGAAAGTATCCAGAGGCAGCAGCTAGTGTGCAGCACCTGCAGTGTTATTTTCACTTTCCCTTGGAAGATGCATAAGCAGCAGAATCTGCTGGTGTTATATTTCCTTGATTATAATGCATATCCCAATTTCCAGCAGGTGAATTGGGGGTTGGGAAGGTATATGCAAGAAAATATGGCATTAGGAAGTGAGTTTTGAATTCATTAGAGTTAGGAGGGAAGATAATGTCTTCTTAGGTATTTATTGCATGCTCCTACCACTCCCTGCAGTAAGCAGCACATTAAAGACGGTCCTGCTCCAAAGAGCTTTAAAAACAAAGATAATTAAAGTACATTAATACTGATGACCATCTGGTAGAGAGGGGTAGCAGGGTTTTGTCTTACTCTTAATCATAGCATTTCAAGATGATAAAGGTTCATGAGAGGAGTGTACTTAGAGGAACGATGCAGAGAAAGGAAAGAAAGGTTTACTGCACCCTGACTCTAGGTGACAGTCATGATAATGTAAAAATGATGCTTTTATGCAGTGGTGTTGGGAACTTTAGAAATGCCCCCACTGGGGAATGTAGGGGAGAAATTCAAATGTTTGGGTCAGGAGGATGGTGTTAGCACAGCAAATTAGGCCTTGAATGAGAGCGGTAAGGTGAGACTAGAGACATGGAGATAAAGAGCGCAGTGGGTATGGACAAACACAGATTTGTAGCCTCTTCAAAAGGGGAAGGAGAGCTGCTACCCTGTAGTGCAGCAACTGTTAACCTGCATCAGCCTGTAGCAGTACAAGCTAACTAGGTTGCCCTAACTTTGACCCTGGAGGAAGCAGGCTTAAAGTTGGAGTAGTTTTGCTACATTTGCTGCTCAAAGCAGACTTGACAGTAACCAGGGTAACAGCTGCTGAGCACTGCAGAGCAATAGCTTGCCCCCCCACACACACTTTTAGAAGAGGCTACAAAATTACCCTTTCCCATACTCTTTGTAGATCAAAAAAGAAAAGGAGAAGATCAATTTAAGCATGATACCAAAGCTGAAAGTGAACTAATAGAGAGTAGGTATTACAGCAAGAGAAAGAGAGACTTGATACTCAGCCTGGAATTCCAATTGTATTACATACACAAAAGAGTCTTAGACCCAATTTGTGTGCGTGCGTGCGCACATACACACACAAGCGCGCACATACACACACACACACACACACACGTGCTAAGGACAGAAGTTAAACATAAACCAGTTTAGGTGATCCGAAACTGATCTAAACCTGTAACAGGATGGAAGTTCAATGCACCTAAACTGCTTTCAAAATGGCTGAAACTGGTTTACGATAAACCTGGATGGATGTAGTATCAGACTTAACCGATTGAGGTCAAACTGGTTTATTGAACTTCTGTCCCAGATCCCCACCAGATTCAAGTTAACTCACAGTCCTCAACATCCCAGTCTGCTCCAGCAGAGCAGTGCTGGCCCTTCCCCCAGCTATCACAGAGCTAAGGCACTAAAGCCTTTGCTCCCTGCTAGCACCTGTCAGCCTGGTGGGATGGGGAGGGGCAAGGGAACAGACCCCCAGACCCCTCTAGACCCCCTGTCTGTATAGGACAGGGAGAAAGCCCCAGTAGTGGTATTTCTCTATTGCAGCAGCCAGGCAAGTGGGGTTGGCATCAGTTTGTCTGAGAGGGGGGGGTAGACGGGGAACACACTGGCTGTGAAGATTGAAATGATTCTGCCTCAGGCTTTTTGAACCTCTGTGCTTAGCCACACACATGCACTCTCCTCAATTTATTTGTATGAACATCTCCATTGAACTTGTAAGAGTGAAGTTAAATTGATCTACTTGCATGTCTCCATCTGAAGTGATAAATAGCAGTGCATTGCTGAAAACCTTAATGTTTATTACAAATTGAAATTGCTGTTTGCCTTTTCTATATGACTTTAGATCAGTAAGTATTAGCTAACCATTTATATTTGGCTGCAGTTATCGCTTACTTTGCAGCTTCACAGAGTTTATGCTTTACAACTGTTGAAGTTGTCTGGACTGCACAAGTGTTGGAGTTTACAGACACTGACTGATCTGCTAAGTATCAAGACAAGCCCAAAACACGTGACCGTGGGTGTAAGGTGCAAAGACAATAGATAGACTTAGATTCAATGCACATAAACTGTTTGTCCCCAGACCTGGATTCTTAGTATGTTGCCTCTTCTTTTGCTGACTTCTGTGTAGCAGCTATTCAGGTGTCTGTAACAGGTTGGGATGACTTTTGTTTAAATCTTGCTCTAAGCATGCCAGAATTCTGCACCCAAAATAAAGACTTGGTTACAATATTTTGCCATAATTTTATAACAGTCTGTGCCTTCAAAACTATTAATAGATCTCTACTAATAGATCTCGAGGCTTTTATAGCATATCTCTAGTTGTTGGTACTCTGTCACCATGCTGCTGCTGTAGTTTATATGGATTCAAGGGCCCATCCTTCAGGACATTTTTAATTTTTTTTTTTTTTATAATGTAGAAGCAAGAGGGAAGGAACAATTATTTGGATTCGCACATCCAAACTCTGAATTCTTCTAGCTACTTCTTCTCTGCTATCGTAAATCAAATAAAACTTGTATTGTGAGCTCTAGCTTTGTTTAAAAAAGCCATGAACTCCCAAATAATTTACTCCAGTCCAAAGTATATTGTTATAATCTATCAGCAAAATTAGCTTGCTAATTTTTCAGTAACCTCTTCAGTTTTTCTGCTGTTGAGATTAAGGATAAAATATATGTGCTATACTTTATTATTATTATAATTATTAATATTATTATTATTAAGTAGTAAATTATTTT